ATCTAAACCACTTACAAGTTGTCTAAAAAAAGATGCCGAAATAAATATTACTAATCCAAACTACATTAATTGCTTTAACTTTTGCAAAAATTTGTTATGTAATGAACCTATTTTACAATACCCCAATTTTGACGAACCCTTTGTTTTAACAACAGACACCTCTAATCATGCAATTGGAGCAGTACTAAGTCAAGGACCTATTGGTTCTGACCTTCCTTGTGCTTACGCATCAAGAACACTTAATCAACACGAAATTAATTACAGTGTAATAGAAAAGAAACTTTTGGCAATAGTTTGGGCAACCAAATATTTTCGTCCATACTTGTATGGTCGCAAATTTAAAATTTATACCGATCATAAACCACTAAAGTATTTATTCGAAATTTTTTTTTTTATTTATTTATTAACCCAAAAAGATTACAAAAGAATCCATAACAGGTAACAAACATAATTATGTGGATACATTTCTCTTGTTTAATAAGTACAACTTAACTAATGAGGTAAAAGTACATAGTAATTTCACATTTTTTATATATTCTGGCAGTTCATTAAACCATACCACAGCAGTGTGTCCAATTCTTCGCTGACCTATGTTTCTAGCACTAGGTAAAACATGATAATGTTGATTTGTCCTGGTGTTGTGCTGATGTATATTGCAGTTCATTTGTAGAGTTAATTCGGTTTGTATCATGTTGGTTTTGATTTTAAATACTAATTTTAATGAATCCAGTTTAATAATCTCGTGTATTTGAAACAATTTTAGATCATGATAAAGTATTGAGGTGTTTGTTCTTGGAGGTTTACAAAATATAAGTTTTACTGCTCGATTTTGAGTGACTTGTAACTGGTTTAGGTCATACTCAGTCGCTTGGCCCCAAATGCATGGGAGCTACATTAGGTGACTATTTATATATTCATGGTATAAATGGTCTTTAGTCTGCAGATTAAGAAAAACTGTATTTCTGCGAATAAAAAAGCATTCAGAATTTATTTTGTTTTTTATATTTTGTATATGCATTCTAAATTTTAATTTATTATGCAAATAATGTTATCTTACCACTTATATCACAGTTTGTAAAATCATTCATATATATTAGGAAGAGAAGAGGGCCCATAATTGAGCCCTGAGGAACACCAGTTTTAATTAATTTACTATCACTTATTTTATCACAGATTGTTGTATATTGCTTTCGGTTACTAAGGTAACTCGAGAATAACTTAAGGTACTTGCCCTTAACACCAATTTTGGAAAGTTTTTCCAGCAGAATCTTGTGGTTAACCACGTCAAATGCCTTGCATAGGTCCAAAAAAATTACCAAAACCATTTGATTTTTGTCTGCATTTAAGTATATTTCTTCCATGAGGTTGGTCATTGCACTTTGAGTACTTTTTTTATTTTGAAAACCATGCTGTTTGTTACTCAGGAAGTTTATGTTAGATATTTTGTAAGTCTCCTATGGAGTACAGTTTCAAAGATTTTGGATATGGAAGGTAATACTGAAATTGGCCTGTAGTTAGAAAGTTCCGACTTACTTCCTTTTTTGTGAATTGGTGTCAGTTTAGCTAGTTTTAGACTATCTGGAAAAATCCCTTCTTGGATATGGTTGTTTATGGACTTAGAAATAACTGGTGAAATAGTTGTTAAGATTTTTTTTAATACTGAAATCTTAAGCCCATCAAAACCTGGGGCAGCATTTTGTTTTAATTCTCTTATAATTTTTGATATTTCCTCTGGTGTAGATTTTGTACAGTAAGCTTTTACAGTTATATTTAAACCGAGTACTTTTTAATGTGCTGGCATTTGGCCCTACTGTATTTTCTACAATATCTATAAAATGCGTGTTAAAGGTTTCTGCAATTTCTTGTTTGTTTGTAATGATTAAATTATTGAATTTAATTTCTTCACAACTTTCTTGTACTTATTACGTATTATGGAACCATTTTTCACATTTTGTACAGTTTAATGCGTAGGTATTTCGAATTCTTTTCGTACACGATCCACATAAGCTCGCCATTTTATTTAAATATATGTGAAATATATATATATGAAATGAAAGAACCAAACTCTAAATTTATTAGATGGCGGTTGCGTCTCGAAGAATACGATTTCGAAATTTTCTATAAAAAAGGCAAACTAAACTCAAACGCAGACGCACTTTCACGACCTCCAAATTTAAATATTTTAGAACTAATAAAAAACAATATTTTCGACTTCATGGAAAAATTTAACAACAGTTTTAATAACGATGACACTGATTCCTTGTGCGTTGAACCATCTGACGACAACGATGTAAACTTAGACGATAACGGCAATGATACAGATAAAGTTACAATTTACACTAGCGCGGAAAATCCCATTTGTGACATTCCTTTACCTCAGTTAAATGTAGCCCTAATAAAACAAGATTATTAAAACTATTTAATAACAAAAAACAAAGATTTATAGTTCAAATTTCAAGTACCCGTGCCAACTCAAAAGAATTCATATATTTTGTAAAAGAATACATAGTGCCTAACACGATGTACGCATGTTACTTTGATAACGATGATTTATTCATACAATTTAATTCAATTTTAAAAGAAAATTTTAATAATACCCTCAAATTTAAAAAATGTAACAAAATTTTGGAAGATATCGAACAAATTGAAATCGAAACTTTATCGAAATTATCTTTAAAATATTATTGGCCAAACATGCAAAAATCCATTCAGAATTACATAAACAGTTGTGAAATTTGCAAAGTAGTAAAATACGACCGAAAACCCTTAAAATTAAAATTTAACATCACACCCACACCTACTAAACCATTCGAAATAGTTCATATTGACGTACTAAAATACGAACACCATAAATTTTTGACCATTATAGATGCGTTCAGTAAATATGCTCAAGTATATTTAATAGAAACATCTCAAGCAATAGAAATCACTTTTAGTAGCCGACAACGGACCCGAGTTCAACAATCAGCGAATTCTTGACCTAACACAAAGTGGATATACATTTTTGCAGCCCACATCATCCAGCCAGTAATGGTTTAATAGAAAGATTCCACTCAACATTTTTAGATCACTTAATATTTTTAATAATAGACCTGAATTTAAAAATGATTCCATACAAATAAAATCACTTCTCTCAACTATAACAATTCTACTCATTCCACACCTAAAATGACCCCATTTAACATTTTACATTTTGACATGCATGAAACCTTAGATATTGATTTAGAAAATAAGGTAGGTAGTTAACAATTTTGTTCAAAGTCATAAAGAAAAACTAAAAATTATATATGAAATAGTCAATAAACGGCTATCAGAAAATAAAGATAAATTAATTAATAAACTTAATGAAACACGCGAAGATATCCCCAAACTTCCAAAAGAAGTTTTTGTAAAAAGTAACTTTAGGTCTAAACAGCGTAACAAATATAAAAATTATAATATAGTTTCAGTAAATACATCTCCAAAAATTTCTAAAACAAAAACCGGACGTAAATTCAAAAAACTTCACATAGACAATATTAAAAGACCAACAAAAACGATAAAATTTCCCTTCCAGGTCCTTCTACCTCCAATGGATAACTCAAATCCTAATGGCAGAAACAAACATAACGAACAACCCCGGTATATTACCAATAAACTTGGGCGAAGCCAAAATTCAAAACTTTTCACATTCCCTGGTACACTATTTTGATTTATCTTAACTAATTTCCGAATATAACGAACTTAATGTTGAATATAACAATTTTAAAAATATAACCAATAAGGATTCAATTTATAAAAGAGAAACTGAAAATTATTCTAAAACAATTTCATTTTTAACAGATTTAATAAACAAAAAATTAAAACCATTTTTAAACTTAAATAAATCAAAAAGAGGTTTATTTAACGGAGTAGGTTATATTATCAAAGAAATAACCGGAATAATCAAGACAATAAACAAATTAGAAATTCTATTAATTTAATTAAACTTCATGAAAATAATATTGAACAACAAATAAACAATCAATTTTCTATTAATAAAGAGATTATTTTTAAATTTAATAAAACAGTTAAAGATATCAAGCACAATGGAAAAATAATTATTTCAAAAATTAACATTCTTGAAGATGTAATTAATCAAACAACACGCTATTCAGATGTTTTATTCGCAACAGAAACATTTAATCAATTTATTAACTTATTTAATATTATCCTTAACATACTTCAAGACATTGAGAATTCAATCTTATTTTGTAATTTAAATATGGCACATCCTAGTATTATATCCGATGACGAATTATTAAATGAACTTTTAAAATTATCAGCTTACTATAAAAATCAATTTCCATTTTTAATAGAATATAAGAATATTAAATATTTTAGATCTTTAATAAAAACCAAATAATATACAATACCGAAATAATCTATTTTCTTAGTTTGCCAACATTTAGTTCAGACATTTTTCGATTATATTACTTTATTCCAATTCCAAATTAATCATTTCAAACTATTATCCCTTCAAGTAAATTTATTTTAAAGTCTGAGTCTGACACAGTACCTTTGGTGGATACCTGTGATAAAATCAATAATCAATACCTCTGCTCGAGAAATTTAAGAAACTATATCGACGTTTTATATATTTATATATTTCATGCTCTTCATGCTGATAACTTTCCTGGTCTCCAAGAAATTAAGAAAAAAGAAACCCAAACTCCACGTGGAAGAATCCGATCTGTCCTCTTTCGACGTTGTTGATATCAAAGTTTAGCCCTTACCGGAGTCTCAGGACTACATGGGAGGAATTATGTTAAAGAATTTTCACAAATATGCTGACTGAAACCCAACCTGCAGACTCAGCATACGAACATATAAAAGTACTTGTTCTACACAATTTAAAACACTCTTTGATTTACTGTAAAGCTATAAACAATAAAAATAATTTTTTAAAAAATCGTTTGTGATTTCCGAAAATATAATTTAGACACAATGTATGTCGGTAATAATAGTTAACACATTTTAAGGTGCATTCTTGGTAACCTACTTTATCATGCTGTTTTTGATGGGCATGCCTATATTTCTACTGGAACTGGTAATAGGACAATATTCAGGATTGGGTCCTGAACAGGCTTTTACAAAATTAGCTCCAATTCTTAGTGGATTAGGGTATTGTTCCTTGGTAGTCATAACATTGGTTACTGTTTACTATATGGTGATTATAGCATGGACAGTGTTTTACTTTTTTGCTTCATTTACATCAGAGCTGGGATATGGATCTTGTCACAATGATTTTAACACTATTGGTAAGAAGTAAATATAAAATAAAAATGTTTTATTGACTAATGTGATGTGTAATTTAATTAAAACTTGTGTTACAGTGTTCTCTGGTCTGGTGAGTAAGTAAATAAATTAATACGTTTTTGATAATGGTTCTTGGTTTACAATAGGATAAAATTTAAGGAAGATAATTCCTTGAAATCATAGAAATAAATCCTTTCAATATTCTTTTTTAGATGTTTTTTAATCACCACACAGTACTTAAACGACTTATAATAAATAAATGTATGGGATAGATTGATTAATAGTGGACGCATAATGCCTACTCTTGTATATTTCAGTAAAGTGTTATAAAACTGAACCGGATATAAACTCGAAGCGTATTTGTATTTTTAAAATACAATGCTGGTTTTTTCTGATTTGGGATATAGAAGTTATTTATGTTAAAATGAGGAGAATAACGAACCTGAAATATTCTTTAAACGGAAAAATACCCTATCATAGGTAAAATAACCCTATTGATGATAACTTGACATTTGCATTTGCGATAATATCTTAATTTATTTTAATCACTATCTGTTAAACCAGTTCCTAAATAAAAAAATATGCGGTCTTTCATTTAAAATTTTTATAATTAAATGACATTTTTTGGTTTAGTTTTTTCCACGTTCTGATTTCTCGTCCACTCTTAATATGTCTATGGGATATTAATTACCCAAGTAGCATTTTTAGTTGATAAAACTTATCGGCTACTTATACTTGAAATTGTAAAGTGTATTGCCAAATAACTCAACATCTCTAACAACCCAAACAACCCAAATAACTTAACATCCTAAACAACTCAAATAACTCATTATCCCAAACAACCCAAATAACTCAGCATTCCAAACAACCCAAATAACTTAACATCCCAAACAACCCAAATAACTCAACATCCCAAATATACCAAACATTACGAACATCTTCTGTGTTTTTTAAACAAAAAAAAAACATTGGAAGTACCGGATAAATTATACAAAAAGATAAATATATGCCTAGACAACTCATTTTCAGATTGTCCAAAATGAGATTAAAAAAAAACAAACATTTCAGCCACTTTATTACTTGATATTTTGTTGGGTTCCCCTGTATATGGTTTGCCCGTCATCTTGACATCTGTTAAAGTGTTTGATATTTTGTTGTGTCAAAGTGTTGCTCAATATTTTGTTGAGTTAAGCTTAATTTTCATGTATCCGTTTGTCCGTTATCCGTTTCTCGGTTTTTCAATAAAATAGTCCGATAAGAAATGTTCTAATTTTCATGCATCCGTTTTTTAATGACGTTTAACGGATTGATTTGACGACAAGTAGAAATTAAGTGTCAGTATAGTCACGGCCAAATCTATATGGGTGCACGTCATCAATGAGATATAATGACGTCAGCATTACCAACTTTGAATTGTAAAGTTACTGCCGTTAAATTTGCTTTTTTAAGGCGTAATTCTGATGTGTTATTAAAAAGAAATCATTCATTTGCGTATTGTTTACCAAAAACTGTAACAATTTACTTGATTTAAAACGTTTTTTCACGAAATTATCAAAATAAAACCATTCACTTAGTAATTTTTGTGTGTGCCAGTTGGTAATAGCTTAAGGCTGGCGCGCACCGTTCAATATTATTGATGGGTCGCTGTCATTTTATATTTGACGTATTTTTGTAATTGTGACATTTCGTCCGGAAGCATCGTTTGTTGCAAGTTATTATAAATCATATTATACATTATGTTTATAAGATTCTATCCCTGGATTGTGCAAACAATGATATAAGGCTTGTTGGCAACTAGCCGTTATTAGATTTCGAAGACATTGCGCCCTTAATAATAAATTTGGGGAAATAATCAGACTTCAATTCTGACCTGGTTTGCTCTGATGACAAGGAGGACTGGTAATTTATTATTTTTGTGTTTCTGATAATTTAGTATTTTTTTGTTATGTGCATATGTAATAAAAATGTAATAAACTCCGTTTGTTTTCTCTTTAAACACATTTAATAAAAATTTGCCTGTAACATACTCCTAATTAGTTAGTGCAGAAGATTATAACAAGGACGTTATAATTCCATCTTAATAACAGCCCCCACCGCTATAAACAGTCAACATTACACGAGCGTTAGATTGTGTCTGGGCACGTATGAATAGACCTTAACGCTGACGTCATATGCCGTTGATGACGTGCACCCATACAGATTTGGCCGCGACTATATTTTTACTTTTCTAAATTTACCTAATGCTTAATTATCATAGTTACAATTATGTAAACAATTGAGGAGCACTCGTGCAAAACCGGCTATATCCACTTTTATAAAATGTTGGGAAAATGGCAAAAACTCTCGGTTTCCTGGCCTTTACAGATAAAAGAAAAGGCAAACTTGAGTTTTGTGGGCTTTGTGGTACTTGATTTATAAGACATACTTTCGTTTTCAAAAACTTTATATTAAGGCCAAAATTCCAAGAAATGTTTTGTATATAGCCGGTTTTGCTCGAAAACCGAATAAAAAACGAATAAAATGTGAAAAAAACCTTTATTATTCAAAAATATTAACAAAATAAATTTAGTGCAAACATGAAAAAACAGAACAAATTTTAGTAATAATAATAATAATAATAATAATAATAATAATAATATTTATTGAATCAGTTTACAAATACATAATAATAAAAATAGGAAGAATTGTAAAATAGTATCGACATATCCAAGTCGCATATTATTATTTATTGGATATAGCCGGGTTTGCTATAAAAACGTGGATTTGGCCGGTTTTGCTCCTAAAGCTACCCTTTAAATGTGATTTTAACATGGATATAGTCGGATTTAAACAGAATTATCTTGTTTGTCGATAGTAATGAACCCAAAGATGCGAAATCAAAAAAAAAACTGAATAAAATGGATTTAGCCGGTTTTGCACGGATGCTCCTCAATTGTAACTTTAACATTTAGCTGTATAATATAATAATAATAATAATAATAATAAATACTTTATTGCCCAACAGTTATAAACCAGTTACAGGACAAATATATAAATATAATATTACATGAAAATTTGATAAATACAATTTGAATGAATAATAATGTATAAAGTGAATAAAAAAAAATAAATAAAAAATAAATATGCATATCCTACATATAAACAATTGCAAAAAAATTAATAATAAAAATATTCTTATGATAAAGAGCATTAAGGTTAATAACAAACTTATTAACTAGTCATCTTTGAACATTTGATTTAGCTAAAATGTTATTAAGAGCCGTGTGATGTATGTCTACCAGGGAATTTAACTTGTTAAAGTTTGTGCACATTACATTTACTGGTGCCTTACATTGCACGTTGGTTCTACAGACATTAAGTTTAAAAGTACGCATTGTGCGTGACTCAATTCTAGGTACATTAAAATAGATTTTGTTTAAAGTTTCCTCACTATCAATTTCGTTGTTTAAAAGTTTATATAAAAATGTTACCGACATATTAAATCTTCTAGTTTCCAGAGATGCAAAACCAAATCTATCAAGGAGCACAGAATGATCATATCCCTGAGGTGGATAATAGCCATTAACCTTAAGGTTTAAATATTTAAGAAATCGGCGGTTTACTGCCTCCAACTGCTTTATATACACATTATATATAGGTGACCATATTAAAGAACAATACTCCAATTTTGTTCGAACCAGAGAACAATATAAAGCCCCAAGACATTTACAACTTGTAATACTTGTTGAATTTCTGATTATAAAGCCTAACATTCTTAAAGATTCCTTACATATATTATTAATATGAAAAGAAAATGAGAGACTCGTGTCAAATAAAACTCCCAAATCCCTCATATTAATAACTCTGTCCAAAGTACTGTTATCAATCTTATAATTAAACAAAATTGGAGTTTGTTTGGTTGTGTAGCTCATAACTTTACATTTACTGATATTTAGATTCAACCGATTTGACCTACACCACTCTTCAATTCTATTAATTTCACCTTGTAAAAATGAACAACTATTAATGTCATTAACAACTGCGAAAATCTTCAAATCATCAGCAAAAAGCAATTTTTCACAGGCAATATTGTCAGGTAGGTCATTTATGAAAATTAAAAACAAAAGGGGTCCTAAATTAGATCCTTGAGGGACTCCTGAGGTAGGGCCAATGCATCTGGAGTAAAAGCCATTGTACTCTATCAAAGAGGTATGATTCAAATATTGTTATCAAATTATCACTTAAACCAATCCGCCTTAATTTATTAATTAAAACAAAATGATCAATTTGGTCAAAAGCTTTTTTAAAATCGGTGTAGATAACATCTACCTGTTTCTTGTTGTCAATAGCTTCAGCAATATATTGTGTAAAAACCGATAAATTCGATAACGTGCTTCTTTTTTCATAAAACCCATGCTGATAGGATGACAAAATAGGTTTAACGCTTGAAAATATATACTTATACAAAATAGATTCGAAAACTTTTGAAAAATTTGAAATTATTGAAATTGGCATATAGTTGCTAATGTTTTCCTTGGGCCCACTCTTGTAAATGGGGCAAACTCTTGAAGTCTTCCAAACAGTAGGGTATTTTGATGTTTTTAAAATTAATTAAATAAAATAATTAAAGGATAAGTAAAAATACTTTTACAATCCTTTATAAGAAAGCTTGGCACGCCATCGAATCCAGCTGTAGAGGAGTTCTTAAGTTTGGTAATGGATGCAAGAATATCTTGTTCAGTAATAGCCTTTATAGTAACCATAGATTGAGGGAAATAAGGGTTAACATTGTCAATAATATTCGGATTAGAATCTGTGTAAACACTAGAAAAATATTTAGCAAACATATCCACAATAGATTGTGGTTCCGAACATTCCACACCATCCAGCTGCATTGTCCCAGGAATTCTGCTAATGGACTTTTTGCCATTTACAAAGGACCAAAAAGACTTAGGATCAGAAGTTAACTGAAGTTGAATATTATTTATATAGCAATTATAATTAGATTTAATTTTATTTTTGCATTGTCTCCTAAGATTTTTAAATAATTGATAATAATGTTCACTATTATATTTCGTAAAATTATCATGGGCTTTCTTTTTATTATGAAGCATCC